TGTGTTTGGATCACCATTTTGTCTCCAAATCGTGTCTTGGAGACACGAGTTACCAGCTGTGATTTAAAAATGAAAGTATGTTGGATCAACTTTCATCTTCATCTGGCTTCTATGAAAAAAGCTCATGACTGTAGAAGCCAAATTTTTTGGTGCTTGTGTGGGTCAGCAAATGTGGCTTAAATTCAAGATAAGCCTAATTGAATTTTTTGGTGTTGTTTGGGAGGGCTTATCTTGTATTGGGCTTATTAAATTTTAAGCTGATTGAACGTACGTTGGGAATAAGTCAGAAGAGGGAGCTTATTTGTAATTCTAGGGTAGGAGATTATGCATATTATGAAAAACACTAAACGAAAGAAGGGCCTTATGGCAGTGAAAATTGATCTTGCAAAAGCTTATGATAGACTGTGATAGGACTTCCTAAAACAAGTTCTTATGGATGTGGGGTTGGATGACAAGCTTATAAACTTAATTATGAATTGTGTTTCTTCTATCTCGAATAATATTATCTGGAATGGTTCCCTTACTGAGTTCTTTAGTCTCAGTAGGGCACTCAGACAAGGATACCCTATCTCTCCCTTTTTATTTGTGCTCTGCATGGATAGACTCTCGCATATGATAGGTAATTCTATAAATAATGGAGAATGGAAGCCTATTCTGATATCTGGAAATGGTCTGGCAATCTCACATCTTATGTTCGCCGATGATCTACTTCTTTTTGGGGGAAGCTATAGCAAGTCAGGCTCAATGTATGATGACATGCTTAGACCGGTTTTGTGCTACATCAGGGGAGAGGATCAATAAGAACAAATCATCCATCTTCTTCTCTCCTAAAGTGGATAGGAACATAAGAAATCAGATTTGCTCAGTTACTGGCATGAATATCTCTTGCGAAATAGGGAGGTACCTTGGATTTCCTATCACCAGAAGGAGGAAACCAAAGGATACCTTTTAATATATATTAGATAATGTCAAAACCCGTTTGGCCACTTGGAAAGAAAATTCTCTCACTATGATTGGTAGGATTGTTCTGGCTAAATTTGTGATTGGTGCCATTCCACTTTATCATATGCAGGTAGCCAAGATCCCTACTTCTATTTGTTCAGAAATTAAGCGTCCACAGTTCATTTGGGGCAGCTCTAGTAAAAAGAGAGGTTTCCATCCCATAAGCTGGGAGTAAGTCTTAAGGCCAAAATTACAAGGAGGATTGGGATTCAAGAGACTCACTAGCTTGAATGATGCCTTTAGAGCTAAATTAGCTTGGAAACTCATATCAGGTGAGCAAGGTTTATGAGCTGATGTTCTTTTCAATAGATGTATGGCGAGGAATGAAACCAACTTATTGGCAGCTAGGAAAGTGGATTCTTCGCTATGGCGATTTATTTCGCGGCAGCAACATATTATTGAAATGGGTTTAACATGGAACATAAGGAATGGCAAATCTGTACACTTTTTCACTGATAAATGGCTCTTACCTGACCGAACAATCAAAGATATATGCCTCAGGCCTCTCTCCCTAGATGAAGAAAGGAGTAAAGTGGCAGAGGTTGAGCATGGAACCTGGGATTTTTTGAGATTAGTGACGATTCTACCTGCAGATACCTTGCAAACTCTTATAACTAAACTTCCCCTGATGGAAATAGCAAGGAAAGATAGTTTAATATGGAGTGTGGCGTCGAATGGATCCTTGTTAATCAAAAGTGCTTATTACTTACTAGAGCACAATGAGGATTCAGACTTCCAAGAGAATTTATAAGGCCACATAGAGTTGGAAGGGTGTTGAGAAGATCCAAGTCTTTATGTGGATTCCTTTCCAAAACAGACTTACCACTGAAGCACGGAGACACAAATGGGCTAATACATCACCATTATGTGACTATTGTGAACAGGTAGTAGAAGACACACTACATATCTTGTGAGACTATCCTTTTATTAGGAACTTGTGGAAACAGATTCTAAGCCCCCCAATTCCACACTTCCTTCTTTGCTGCTACTTTGCAAGAATGGTTTGATATGAACCTTAAGCGAGACTTGGTAGCTATTGTAGATAGGTCTTGGGACCTCATTTGGGGGGTAGCAATTTGGAGGATATGAAAATGGAGGAATGAAGCTCTCTTCAATCTAGAATTTACACAGCCTAAGGAGCCCTCAATCATCATTCTACGAAGTTGGGAAAGACTTGTTCAATTCCCAGGGAAGTTATCTTCTTCTATGCTTTAGACATGGAAACCTCCACCTAAGACTGGGTAAAACTGAATGTTGATGGTGCAGTTTCTTCGATTACCCTCAAAGCTGGTTATGGAGGAGTATTAAGGTATCATAATGGTCTGTGGATTGCAGGCTTCACCTACTCTATCGGAATTGGTGAAGTAGCGGAAGCTGAATTGTGGGCGATCTATAAGGGATTGCAATTGGCTTGGGATTTGGGTATGAAAAATGTGATACTGGAGAGAGACGCCCAGAATATTATCCCTCTAATTCAAAGACAGGAAGTCTCCCCTTTGGACAGCCTTCTAAATTGGCAGGTCTAAAATTTCTTGGCTAGACTATGGCGTGTAGTGATCGAACATACTCTGAGGGAAAGAAACAAAGTAGTTGATTTATTGGTTAAAAGAGGATTAAGCACCTCGACCTTCTTGGACTCTTGCCCTCTTTGGCTAAGCACTCCCGTTGCTGATGAGTCTATGAGATTTAATTCCCCTTTTGATTAGCTTTTGTAACTTCTGGGCCTAGCCCTCTCTCTTGTAGCAAAAAAAAAAGAAAGAAAGAAAGAAAAAAAGCAGAGGGAGCTTATTTTGAAATCTTAAGAGCTTATTTCCACATGTGGGTCTAGTACTCACCCCAAGACGACAACTTCACCAATGTGAAAGTGACACGCACCGCCATCCTTCCTTCAAATTAAAAATATCTTTGCATCAAAATATCAAATATCTCTCCTATTTATGCCACTCACACGTCAAATTGTCGCCATCCCCTTTTGTAATATATACATACATATATATATCTGGGTGATTATAAACAAACAAATGTTGGTGAGAGTAATAATAATAACAACAAGTAACATTTTAGACCAACTTTTCCTTTTGCGGAGGCCCATTTGTTGCGAGCGCATTTTCAAATATAAATCACTTTGCTATGTTTATATATGTGTGTGTTTAAATAGGAGGAAGCTTATCTTTCAGTTGCTTTCTGTCATAATTTTTTCCCATTCTTCACATTAAATTAAATTTAATTCACTCACTAAATTGTACTTCTTTAATCATGTTTTATTATTTATTAAAACTCATACCCATTTTGATCATTTTACAACCAAACTTACTTTTATTCAACCATAATCTAAACAACTTTTTATCAATATCATTTTTGCAAACTAACTTTTCTGAATTCTAATCCAAATACAATTCAGTTTATCCAATTTAGTTTTTGCCCAACTTTACTTTTTCATAAACCAAATTAACAATAAGCTATTTTTCTAATTGTTAATTCAAACGGACCCTTAGCTTCCAACGTTAGGTTGGATTGCCTTCTCTTTACTTTTTTTCCTCTTTCCTTTTCTATCCTTATAATTTTTGTCCTCATTCTCAACTTTTATAGTTTCCTTGTCATAACTTTCGTCTTAGATTCTCATATTTTAATATGTGCATTTTTTTATTTATTTCATTTACTTTTTTTTTTGTTTTGCTAAAGCATAGGTATTCTTCTATTGGAGGCAATTTTATTCAAGGTACTGTCAGACATTAAATGTGGGCACCTCTTCCAACAGAGATTTGAACCTTGATTCACCACATTGTGGGAAACTAACCCTTTCTGCTAGACCCAATTCCCGTTAGTATTTATTTATTTCATTTATAATCACACTATTTTATTTTATTATGTTTTTGTAAAAAAAAAAAAAGACCAGCCTAAATAATGTTATAATGAGGACAAGTATGGATCACGGACCTTTAGGGCCTGTTTGGTTTGAGGGGAGGGAAGGGGAGGGAGGGGTAGGGAAGGGGAGGGGAGGTTTCATCCTCACCTTGTTTGGTTTGATTAAAAAGGAGGGGAGGGAAGGGTATTTAATGATCCCTTGTTTGGTTCAAGGAGGGGAGGGGAGGGATAGTAATAATCAATTTACCATTTTACCCTTACATATTAGTTTATGTTTTTTATTGATATATTATATAAATTAATTTACATCTTAATTTAAATTATATAATTTAATCAAAATTCATTCTTATCATGTTAATATGTGTATTAAAAAATTGGTATAGTAATTTTTCATTCTAATTAATATAATAATATATTTAAAATAATCAAATTAACAAATTTTATATGCTCTAAGAAAAATGAAATTTTATTTTCTTTAGGCTATCTTTTTTTCCAGCTTTAAAATATATTTAATAAATAATATATTTATAAAAAACAATTAATTTTATAATATTATAATTTTTTATTTAAATAATTTTTATTTTTAAATAATTTTTATAATATATTTTTAATTATAATAATGTATATATTTTTTATTTTTTTTACTTAGGATAATATATTTTTTATTTGAAATAAATATTATAATAATATATTTTATGGGTAGAAGTGGAATATTAAAAAAACCATAAGAGCATAATGGTCCAAAATTTTGGCTTCCCTCCAAAAACCCCCAATTTGGAGGGGAGTCAAAATGGGGGGAGGGAGGGGAGGGAAGGGGACATTTTAGCTCCCCTCCCCTCCAAAATTTTTAACCAAATGAGGAGAGGGGCTCATTTCCCCTCCCCTCCAACCAAACACACCCTTAAACTTTTACCCGTCATAGTCTCATTAGTCTTTGAGTGTGTTTGGATCACCATTTTGTGCCTGTTCGGGTCAGCGTTTGCTGGCCTTAATTTTAACACAAGCCTGATTGAAAATTAATCCAATATGTGGGAAGGCTTATGACACATGGGGTTTATTGAAAATAAGCTAGAGCTTCCTTTTAAAGTCTGAGGAGCTTAATTCAGGACGGTTATGCAACTGAGGTCGCCGAAGATGCCAAGCCCAGCCACTGAAGATGCCATACCTTACGCTTCCCATTCAGCTACTGAAGTTGATTGGCAACTCCATCCACCACCACCATTGCTGCTGACTCCATTTATCGTGGGTGAGCGCAACATCATCTGCGAAACCGTAGTCAGGTTCCACAAATCTGTGTAAAGATAACTAAAATCTCAGGGGTTGAAGATGATCATGGTGATGTGGTTAGGAATATGGAAATAAGGGAGGCGATTACGAGAGAGAAAACCATATGTCTGATACGCAAGGAGGAGTTCAAATTAGGAGGAGATGCAGACAAATTACCTTGCGACCATTTCTTTTGCTTTGCATTTATCCATGTTTGGCTCAACTTTGACCAAAACGATACTTGCCCTGTTTGTCGTCGTGCTTGCTTTCTCGGAATTTCTGATCACCTGGAATCGCAGTCCCACCCCCACCTACAGTTCTTGATAGTTCCTCAGAATATTTCTTCTTCCCTCCTGTGCCCATTCTTACCGAGTTGCATCTTGTTTCACTTTATATTTAAAATATTTTTTTTAAAATTTTAAAATTTAATTTATTTATTAAATTTCATTTCTTCATATTAAATTAATTTAAATTTAAATTCATTGTATTATGTTAAATTATTTTTAAATTATATTTTATTATTTATTAAAACTCATACCTATTTTGATAATTTTAAAAATAAACTTACTTTTACTTTGTCATAATCTAAATAATTTTTTACTAATATTATTTTTACAAATTAATTTTTTAAAATTTTAATATAAATATAATTCAACTTATTCAATTGAATTTTACCTAATTTTACTTTTTTAAAAATTAAATTAGAAATAAATTATTTTTTCTATCGCCAATTCAAACATTATTCGGATCAACTTTCATTTTCATTTGGCTTTTGAAGAAAAGGCTCACTACCGGAGAAGCCAATTGTTTAGCTTCCAACGTTAGGTTGCATCTCCTTCACCTGCTCTTTTGTTCTTTCCTTTTCTGCCCTCACAGTTTTTGTCCTCATTCTTAACTTTGTTGCTACCTTGTCAATTGTCATAACTTTCGTCTCCATTCTCATATTTTAATATTTACATTTTTATTTATTTCATTTATAATCACTCTGTTTATTTTATTATGTTATTTATTTTATATAGTTTTAAGAAAATAATTATTACTTTTTACTAATAAAAATTATTTATTTTATGATTTTCCCTTAAGTAAAAACAATTAATTAAGGTTTTTATTTATTTAAAATTTTTTAATAATAAATTAATTTTTTTATTTTTGCAATTTAAATTTTAATTTTTTTGCCAACATTTTTTATAATGTGATTTCTATTTTAAATTGTAATGTGATTTTGTTTAGATTAACTTTTATAAAGAACTCAATTTTAAAAGTTAAAACTTATTTGGATGATTGGTAAAAAAATAAGTTTAGATTTAAAATAACTTAAAAATATATAAGTTTTACAATATATATAATTTGATAATTTTATAAAAAATATTAAAATTTAAATAACGTCATAACAAAGTAATATACTACCTCCGATTCTTAATATAAGACCTTATTTGACTTTTATTTTGGTCCTAAATATAAGACCCCAATCCACTTTGTCTCCCATATTTACATATTTTTTTTCTAAAGTAACCCTTCTAACAATGATAGTTCTAGTCAATATACTTGATTAGCAAAGATATTTTAGAGAAGACAACACCTATTTAGGACAAATAACTAACTCAACTTACTTCTTTAACCTCCTCAAATTAGTCAACTGGCTCTTATAATTAGGATCGGACGTAGTATTAGTTATTTATTGCTATTCATTACATCATTTATTTTTGGAATTTCTTCGTACGCGTTAATTTCAATTTTGCCATTTCACTCCGCCAAAAGCTAAACAAATTTCCCTCGCGCTCGGCAGGTTGGTGACCAAGAAAAGACCAGAGAAAATGACGGGAAGTGAAGAAAAGAGTGAGAAAATGGTCAGGCAGAAGAGAGACAGAAGCCTACTCGCCTTCACCGGAGCTGCAGCTGTACTTGCAATTGCCGTCAACCTTGCCATCACCGCCATCAAGCATCATAAGGAGAAAAATCGAAGGAAAAAAGGTCCAATTATCTCTTACTTTCTTATCTTGGAGTTAACTTAAGCCGTCTGGCTTGTTTTGCTTCAGTGATCTAATTTTATATATAATTTTTGGTTTAGTTATAGTTTAAATGAATATCTATTTGTTTCTGAAATCGCTTTCGTAACGTTGTAGATCTTCCGGGTTCCAATGTGCGTATTAACCTATCAAAATCTGAGATTCTTAAGTTGGCTGACCAAATCATTGCTAAGTCAAAAGAGGTCCATGATGCTGTTGCCTCAGTCCCCCTTGACAAGGTACTCTTAATTGTTGTACTAGCTCAGCTTAACATGAGAATTAGTTAACTAATTTAATTTGAGAAGATTAAGAAAACTAGTTAAGTTAGTTATTTGTAGTAACTAGGTATTGTTTTTCCTAAAATATCCTTGATTATTAAGTAAATTGGTTAGAACTATTTTGGGGAAAAAATAGATAAATATAAGAGATAAAGTGGATTGGGTCTTATAATTAGGATCAAAATAAAAGCCAAATGAGCTCTTATATTAAACACGGGAAGTAGTATTTCTTAATCTTTTTTGATGCTATTCATGAGGGAGCTTCTTCATGCACTGTTGGTGTATTTAACGGCATTTTATTTGTGGCATATTCTTGCTGAGAACTTTTAAGGATATAATCCTCTGTTCAACTTTCTTGTATGTGTATGCGTCTGTTCCTAATTATTTTCCCTCTATCTTGCTTCCATTGGTAAATTCATAACTGTTGTCATTTCTGTTTGTTGATATTAACTTTACTCCCCCCTTTTTATTTTAGTCGTCACCGTAAATTGTTTTCTTAGGCTTGCTTGACTTAATTGAGTGGCCAAAAACCGCAGGCTACATACATGAACGTCATATCACCTCTAGCAGAACTTGAAGCACAGCAATTCCCGTTGATACAATCTTGTGTTTTTCCAAAGCTGGTATCTTCTGTGGAGGATGTACGCAAAGCTAGTGCAGAAGCAGAAAGAAAAATAGATGCTCATCTTAACTTGTGCAGGTTTGGTTGATTAGTTTATGGGAATATGTGGTGGTTACGTTTAACTGTAATCTACAAAGTGAAGAAAAACCAAAATGCTATAATAGCTTTCCCTACTATGCTTATTTTTCTACCAGAAGCAAAAGAAAGGAAAACTTACGGTTTTTTAAGTTTTTGGTTTTCCGTGACTTATTCAATATGTGTCATTACAAGATATTAAAGATTTAACTTTCTCTTCAATAGAATGATTATAGAACTAAATATATTAGTGTTCCATGAAATCGGATCAGCAAACGTGAAGATGTATATCTTGCTGTCAAGGCATTTGCAGCAAGGGGGGAGTGGATGAGTGCTGAAGCCAAATGCTTTGTTCAAACTCTGGTAAGACAATTTCTATTTGTAATTATAGTATAATATTTTTAGGAGATTTTGTTGAGAAAATAAACATTTTTGTCCTACCTAATTACGTTTTGGTAAACTCAATTTTATATATCAAAATGTTATCCATGTGAAAGACAAAATCCAGATCTTGATTCTTGCCTAATCAGTGACAGGTGAGAGACTTTGAGCGAAATGGATTGAACCTCACTGCAACCAAGAGAGAAGAGTTACTGCGTTTAAGAGCTCAGATTGATGAATTAAGCTTAAGATATGTCCAAAATCTTAGCGACGATAGCAGTTTTCTTCTCTTCAATGAGTCAGAGTTAGCTGGATCGCCTCCAGAGTTTCTCAAGGTTTAGTATGATTTTTCTTCCCTTTAGTTTTATTTCTGACAAAACTTTTAGTGACTTTAGAAATTTAGATGGTATGTCTCCAAAATTAACTTTTTCTCCATTGTGATCCTTAGAACAAGTAAAATACTAAGTGAGTGCTTACATATAATGGACGTTTTATTGAGTTAGACATATAATGGATGTTTCATTGAAATTCTCTCCTTTGAATGGAAGAAAAATATATTGTCAATGAAATTTTTTCTCCTAAAAATTTCAAGCAAAATTGAATTTCTGAGAAAATTTTGAATCTTTGTGATTATAGTAAACCATCCAGGGCATCTTTGTTAGTTCACAATTGAACAGATCCCTCTCAGCTTCCTGGACACGAAATATTTTGAACCTTTGTGATTATAGTAAACTATCTGGGAAATCCTTATTAATTCACAGTTAACCAGATCCCTCTCAGCTTCCTGGACGTAAATGATTTAATTGGTCGGGAAGATAAGCTTTATATGATTTTTTTTTTTTTTTAAATTCAACTCTGCTCAAAAAGAGCTATTAATATGAGCACTCCTCACTACTCTGGTTCTGAGTTTCCTTGAGAAAAAGAACATTTCTGTCTTGAAGAATTATAGTTTTAAAACTTGGAATAAACTGATTCCATCACAGGCTTTAGATAAATCTGAAGACGGAAAAGTGAAGATCTCTTTGAGAAGTCATCATGTTGCAGCTGTACTTGAACTTTGCAAGGTATCGCATTTGAAGTATTGATAAGTGATTGCATGTTGCTTTGTCAACTGAGTGCTATATTATCGCAGGGCACTATATTGATTTTTGTATCCCCTTATACTACAAGGCATCTGAGGTTCACGAACCATATCTATTATAAATCGATATTTTCGTTTTCATAGTGGTTTGCCATTTGGAATAGGTCAAGTGTCTCATACAGTTGTAAGAAGGACAGTCTGCCTGGAAGTAGATGCGAAGTACTGAATATTATTTCGAGCTTGATTTTGCCAAAAGAGTTGTTTATAATCGATTGTAATTTTATAAATACTTTACTAGATGATTATCATTCTTAAACTCTTGGTTAGACCAAGATGAAACCTACAACTAATTCTGTTGAAAAATGTGAGTTATCAAACAGTATGCGCCCACAGTAATGAAGGGATTGACTAAGAGTAATCATATTGTCACTGTAGATTCTGAATTTATTTCATGTGCGCAAGCAGAAATATTAATTTTTTCTGTATAGCATCTATTAGGTCTATTGTTTGTCATGGTGGTGGGTACATCTTTCTTGTATATCACCATTTATGTTGAGAACTTCTACTCACATGATCTCTAATATTTCCTTGAGTTTGTGAAGGTAGGAACTACAAGGCGGATGGTAGCTAGAGCATACGGGAAGAGATCTGGAGAAGTCAATCTTTCACTTTTGGAAAATCTGGTAATTTTTGTAAATGGAATCAATCACTACTAGGACTTCAATTTCTAATATCAATGATGAGCCAATTGTGAGCCATGAACATTGAAGTTATTGGTTATTTGACCCAAAATTGGCTTTTCTAGTGGGTAATTGAATTATAAGCGACTTTTTGTTATTGAAATTGTACTTAGACTGCTAATAGGAATTTGGAAATAGAAGTAAAAAACCATAAACCAAAAGCTAGCTTCGTTGCAAGTTAATGATTTGTGAGCAACTTTATGAGTTGGGTAATGTTACGAAGTACTAAAATACCAGAAACTGCCTTTTTAGCGGGTCATTGAACATTGATATATGTACGTGACTAACTGAAATTTAGAGGTGTTGAAGGAAACCAAAGAAAATGTTTCTGTGCTTTCTCCCTTTATCATTCAAGGCAGAATCTGTTGATACGAATGGGAGAGATTTGTGTTATGGTTGACTACAATCCAGTAATTCAACACCCAATCTAATCCCAATAAAATAAGAAGTTAGAGACATCCTAATCCTCTCCCACCTCTTTGGCAGACAAGGTAGGATAATATTTATTTAAAACAACTTAATTAGTCTTCAAATAATAACATTCTCTAATGCTCCTTGACGAATTCTCCAGGTGATTGTATAATTCTATATATGCTCTAATTCAAAGAACTCATTTGTGATTCGTAGAAAATTGAATTTTTTGGACAAAATTTAAAAATATGAATTGTGAACTTTGTAGAACAGTTGTTTTGATTAAATTTTGAATTGCATATCGTATTCACATGAGCATATTTAGGCATTGAGTTTATATGATCCTTGATTATGTATTTGTTGCTGTGTTGTTTCTTGAATTTTCATTATGATACATGTTATAAACTTGTTAATGCATATTCCATTGGTATGATTCAGGTGGAACAACGACATAAATATGCCCGGTTACTTGGGTATTCAAACTATGCTGAATATGTTGTTGATATTAGGATGGCGAGGACACCTACAAAGGTTTGTATGGTTCTACTAGACATGTTGTAATGTGATTATAATTAGAGGTCTATGAACTGGGTTTCTGTTGGAAAATGCTTTTCTAATTAAAGTCAAAATAATTTTTCATTGGATTCTCATGACAAGTAACTATATGGTAACTTGTATTGCATTTCATTTCGGGATGCCTGGTCAGTGGAAGAGGAAAGGAGAAAGAGTGATATGGATATGTGGAGACCGTGATGTGAACCGTTTGTCTTTCTAGTCTGGTTTAGCTTTTGTCTTCAGTTTATCTGTGTTTACATTTTAAATTTGGTGGTAAACGTTAAGTCAAAAATGCATCTATTGAACATTAAGTCAGTCCAAAACATTTCTTGCTCTTATTTCTGCTATCTTTCTTCTATTTCATTTCTGCCTACTGCGTGGTGTGCTCATCAGATGAACAACTAACAGCATATGCAGTTATGTTGAATTGGAATGCTTCATCTGGTCCTATTTATTAGGCATTTTAGCTGAATCACACAGATTAAGAAAGGTGGTTAAAATTGGTTAAGAGTCTTGATTTCTTCAAAAATTACTATAATATTCCCAAATTACCCGTAATTAAAACTATTGACTTCCATTTTTGAACCTTAAAGTCAAACATGCCCCTAAATGAATCAATTAGATATGTGGGCATTTTTGGAAATAATTCATAAATGCTTCACCGAATTTTATAAAGCATCTTATATTAATGACCAAGCGAAACTCCTAAAAGATATATTGAGGGCCGGAGGAAGTATAATAAATATTCATGATCATTGATAAAGTCATATTTCTTTACAGGGTAAAAATGTATAAAAAAGCCTATTTTCATCAATGCATGTTCAGTACAGGCTTGTTTGTGTTGGGCGTGCTCTGAGGAAAATGTGATAGGAATTGAAGGCATTGTCTTCTTCCTGTGATCCTATATTTTCTTCCCTTCACTTCTTGCATGAGGCTTTTTGTTTGATGCGGACCTATTCTAAATTTTATCCAGGTGTTTGAGTTCCTAGAAGAGATATCATCCAGTTTAGATGACTTGGCCATGAAGGAACTTGATTTGTTGAAAAATATGAAGGTTTGTACATTTTTTAAAGCATTTTCTGTACTTTTATTCCTTCTGATTACAATTTGTTGTGTTTTCAGAAGAAAGAAGAAGGAGAGCTTCCATTTGGAATTGAGGATTTACCGTATTACATAAAACGAGTTGAAGAGCAGAATTATAGTCTGGATTTCATCGAGCTCAAACAATACTTTCCAATTAGTTTAGTTCTATCTGGGATCTTCAAAATTCTCCAAGATATATTTGGTATTGTTATATCTGACTATCTATTAGCCTTCTTGTATTTCGTTGCCCTGACCACCAGATATTCAATTTATTAACCTTTTTTTTTTGGGGGTTTGTTATAATGCATGCTGATTCTCTTTCTTGTTATGTCTCATTTTTTTTCACCAAACACACAGGTTTAAGGTTTGAGGAAATTGTTGGTGCTGAGGTTTGGCATTCTGATGTTCGTGTTTTCTCAGTACTTGATTTAGGTTCTGGTGAATTATTGGGTTATTGCTACCTTGATTTGTACGCAAGGTTTATTCCCTATTACCTGATATTTCAGAGTTTCAGTAAATTATGTTTGCTAGAAAGTTGGAAAAGTGATTTAATTTTTTTTTTTTAAACTATAACAGGGAAGGTAAATATGGCCATACTTGTGTGGTGGCTCTTCAAAACAATGCCTCAACAATCAGTCAGGCGCGGCAGGTTAATTTTTGCTTAACATTTGATTTCCTAACTTTCTGATTCAAAGCAATAGGTTCGATGTTAGAGTTCTCTATTTTCTCCCCTCTAAACGTTGTCTCATGGTAATGATTATTTACATGCCATATTTCTATCACTGCTTTTACAGATTTACTTGTGTTGAACATTGCAATCAGGAACTGAAGCAAGGATCTGTTGCTATAATGTCAATTAACAAATACAATAGTCACATGTCTTGTTCTAAAAGAAAAGTAGAACTTCTAATTGAGAAATTTCCTGCATAAATAATTTCATGCATGGATGATTATGATTCGTGTGATGTATTTATGGTCTGTTATTTTGTTTTTAACTTGTAACTACACTAACATGCATCTCATGCAAATTTGTTGAATGTACAGGTTAGGTTTGCATTTAATTATTTATTTTCCTAAACACTGAATCTTGACAATTACATGGATAAAAATATATCCCTCCATCATGTTTTCCTGTATGTAGGTTCCAGTTGCATTATTGATCTCTCAGTGTCAAAGGGATGCTGGCAGTAATTCTGGATTATTGCGATTTTCTGAAGTGGTTGGTCTTCTCCATGAGTTTGGGCACGTGGTATGTTGCTGTCGTCTTAAATGGTTCCCTAATCTGAGTTATTGAATTTATTATGGTTATCATTGTTGTCATTATGATTAATTTTTCTGGGGAAAAAGGGAAGAAAATTAAAAATTGCTGAATGAGAGACATCCTGCTCTGGGGAACTTTAACAATTTCCTTATTGTTGTGGCAACTCAAGTTACAAAAGGGAAGGGTAGATTGGTGTTTATTACTCCAGTAAATGCTTTATCAATGATATCTTTCTTATCTAACTGTTTCTTTTTGCCTATTACAGAAAGCATTTTTTATTTAGTTGTTACGCCTTTATCTATCTGTCAGTTAGTTAGGCCTTTATTATTAATTTTCCTGACCTTGTATTATATTCAAGAAAAATTGGTTTTCATTGGATGTTGATCGTTGACCACTGCTCTTCAACCCTATTTTTACTCAAACTGTTCAGCTTTCAATTAATAAGAATCAGAGCATTATTAAATTTTTACTATTCATTGATTGTACTTCCATTTATATTTGTTTGTGCACATTATATTTTTCTTATGGAATCTTTTCAAATTAAACTGCTAGGTTCAACAAATCTGCAATCGCGCATCATTTTCTAGACTTTCTGGGCTGCGTGTTGATCCTGACTTTGTGGAAATCCCTGCTCAGGTGCTAGAAAATTGGTAATCAATCACTCAATCAATATTTCTTCAATGGTTTAAAAATAAAAGGACTTCACCGGTCTTTTTTTTGAACCCAAGTTCATTCTTCATGCTTGTGAAAAACTGCAGGTGTTATGAAAGCTCTTCTTTGAAATTGATAAGTGGATTCTATCAGGTGGGTTTTGCTGTCCGTTCACTGCATGATTTAAGTCTTTAATGATTTTGGTCCCCTCCACCTGAAACGAGTGATGATTATTGCTGATATTTTAGAGTCGTACCATTCTCACTGTGCAGTGTGTCTGATTTATCTGGGGCCAGCTGCACCAGAAATCGTGTCTCCAACACTGCATTCTTAATTGCATGACCCTGAAACAGTTTGGAACTGCCATTAATCATCTGAAATGGGTCTAATAAATACTACTTTTGATCACGCTATGCACTTATTACTTGTTGCATTGATTTAATGAGTTGCGGGCATTACAAAAACTATCATTAATCATCTGAAATGGGTCTAATAAATACTTCTTTTGATCGCGCTCTAGGCTTGTTAATTGTTACATTGATTTAATGAGCTGCAGGACATTACAAAGCCCTTACAGGAAGACGTATGTAAATCAATTAAAAGATGGAGGAATTCTTTTTCTGCACTCAAACTAAAGCAAGAGATTCTTTACTGTATGTTATATCATTTTACATCATGGAATTAAACTTCATATTTGGTATCACTATGTTATGTATTTAGTTGTGTAATTGATAATTAGTGTTTTTATTGAATATCTTGAAATCTGCTTAGAAGTAAAAATTGATTGGAAATGTATCGTTGATTTTAAATGTTAGTTCCCTTGTCTCTGTTGTGGCATTTTTCATAATAAAATGTGATTGAATCGCTTTTATCTATTGGGATGTGACTTGTTCATTTTTTGTAAATTCGATTCACACTGTTCAAAATTCCAAGGACGAGTATTTTGGATACCTATGAGCCTCTATTGCATGCTAGAGTCTGAATGTTCTAGTCGTAAGAATGTGAAACAGTATTCTGCTGTATGTCATACAAAGCACGTAGTAATTTTCATGGTTATTATACTGGGCAAATTTTCATTGTTCGGCCCATGTAATTTTTATTCAAGGTTTTACAATTTTTGTTAGGTGTCAGATGCTTACTATTTTCTCCATTATTTTTTCTTTTGAGTAGGAATTGAACTTGGTGTTGTTTGTTGATGGAGAGAATCTGTCAATAGTACTTCCAATTTGACACATGATTTTTTGCTAACAGGTCTTTTTGATCAAATCATACATTCTGCTGATAATGTAGACATTCTAGAGTTGTTCAAGCATCTTCACCCTAAGGTACATAAATTTACGGTATACGACATTGAGTTCATACTGTGGAATGGAAAAAAAAAATGGAAGAAAGATGTGTACAATTTTCATTTCCCAGGTGATGTTAGGCTTGCCGATGTTAGAAGGAACCAATCCAGCTTCATGTTTTCCTTCCAGTGTCATAGGCTATGAGGCTGCTTGCTACAGTCGTATTTGGAGCCAGGTACGAGTAACTCACTGCTTCATCAAAGACCATAGTCACATATCTCAACATTTTAAAACTTCATGATGAAATGTCCAGGCTTTTGCTGCTGATATATTTGCCTCAAAATTTGGCAATGATGTTTCAAATTCAAACCATCACGTTGGCATGCAATTCAGGAACAAGGTACATAATGTTATGGCATTTTCCCGAAGAGCTATATTGATTATTTGTTACTAGCGTTAAAATTGTCATACAGCTTTGTATGGGTTACCTAATGAAATTCTCGCGTATCGGTGAAGGTTTTTATTTGCTTATTTGATTAAACCATATCGGCAGGTATTGGCCCCAGGGGGATCAAAGGATCCCATTGAAGTTTTATCGGCCTTTCTGGGAAGAGAACCGTCAATTCAGGCTTATATCAATAGCAGAGCCAACTGTACTTTGTAGGGAATTTGAGAGTATCGTCTGTCGGCTCATTACCTTACACCCTGGTTTTATTTATTGGCCTATAAATTTGTCCATTTATTGAGCTTCGTTGATAAAGATAAGATGTTATGATAATTGTGCAGTTAAATTTATATGCTTGGGTTAATTATGCAGTTTTTTTTTTTTTTTTACTTTTTTTCCCAGAAGCACCCAAATACCAGCTGACCCAATAAAAATTTATCAAAGTAAATAAGTCCGTAGCTAGCTTTTATCACTTTAAACATCCACTCAAGCTCCAGTTTTTTTGGAGATTTATTACTTCCCAGGCGAAAAGTGTAAATACTCTAGGTACTTGTCTTCTTTTCTTTTCATTTTTTTTAAAGTTGTTTGTGCCGTTGGATTGTCATTGTTTGAAACTTGATTTGGGCGTGGATGACCTGTTAAATCCTATGTTTATTAGATTCCCCCTGACAGGTTAGAGGGAGAGGGAGAGAGAAAGAGAAAGTGTATATATATAGAGAGAGAGTCGTGGAGAGAAAAAGTGTTGTGGTGAGATGATTTGGGGCATATTTTTAGATGCGGTGCCTCTGGCAGCAGAGGAGCACGTGTGCACAACCATTAGCTAAATGCTAATGTTTTTCATTCTTGGTCATCTACCTTTATACATTCCCTCCTGCATGTGAGCTGGATTATTCTATATAACATGATACTCTTTCCTAGGTATATGCGCTAGGCTTGTAGAGGAATCATGGGTTTGCGAACCTCAGATTTATTTGTATTTGTTCCTGTTTCATTTATTTGTTTGTTTAATGTTGGCCTATGATGCTTTCCCCCCCCCTCTTTTTCAGTACAGCCTTCCTTTTTGTCTTAACATTTACTTATTTTATTTTAACTAAATGTGAATGCTGTAGTGTAAGTTTAAATTGAGCTATACTTATGAATAAATAGTTTATTTTTTGAAAACAAATTTTCTAATTGCATATAGATACGAACATGTAGCTTTTTCTTGTTGGTTGGTGGGTTTTTTTTTTCCTCTCTCTTTTGTGAAATCGATCGATCCATTGGGCGGACAATGATGATTGCTTCAAATTATGCCATGTCAAGGAAAGCCTAATTCTCCGTAGTCTTTCGAGCTAAAAAATGCATAATCTTCCCCCATTTTTTTAAAGAAAAATAATTTTTGACCTCAAAGAAAAGTCTCCTTTTGCTTACCAATTTATTATTTTCCAGTCAAATTCCCCTCTCCCTAAATTTACACAATGGTGTACATGTATATGCATGTCCTTCTTCCGGTCTTGATTATATGAAATCTTAGAAATTTAACTAATATCTTACTTTTTTAAAAAAACTTAATATATTTTTTTAACCGGCTAATTAATATCTAGAAAATACTTTATAGTAGGGATAGCAGTAGCATAATATGCTCATTCCTTTGGGAAATGTAGTTAGAATTTAAATTTATTTTACATTTCATTAGCTTTACCGTACAACGCTCATGTTTTCAAACGGCAAGGCCCCAGTAATAAAATTTGAACTGTTAATATTTGCTGGGAATTTAAATGTTCCCAAAATTAGTTTTTATTTTTTTTACCAGAAGAATAAAAATGACAATCTTCTTTTGTGTTTACTCGATTCTACTTTTGTCTTCCTTCAGTTTCACCAACCAAAAATTGAAACCAAAAAGGATGCCAAAGCCAAATCCAAATCCAAAACATGCATAAAAATACACGATTTATTGTGAATTTTCCGTGGCGAGCTTAAAATATTGACAGTTTTACACTCCGTTTTCCCTGTGCTTTTGCTAACCACAAAAGCTATTCTTCCAGGGCCTTCAATCTCAATCCGAGCCGAAGTTCCTTTCATTGACGTTCAGAACGCGTGATTTTGATGTGACCGACGACAGTGTCGTCTTGAATTGTGTCCTGGCCAATTGATGTTTTCTGGGGCATTTCTCGCTCGTTTCGTCGCTGTTTTCTTCAGCTTTGACCATCGAGTGGCGACCAAACGGATCCCAAAGAAAGAGAAGAATGGTTGAATTTGAATCAGAGGAAATGTTTTAATGCGTGCTGGTAATGAATATCTTTCCGGGTCAACAAACAACGACGAGGAAGATTAAGCCGTGTTTGCTCTATGTATATACGACCCTATAATTACTTCTTCTTCTTCGCTTTTTTTTCTTTTTTTCCTGTTGCGTTATTCTGAGTTATCTGGATGCTTGCATTTGCATGTGCTTTTTCCGGGTTCGCCTCTTTATTTTATTATTTAGTAATTTATTTTTTGCTGGGATATATTTTATTCTCTGCAGATTGTTCGAAAAATTATCTTTTGTTTTTCAGGAAACAGAAGGACAGAAAGGGGAATCAGCGGAACATTCTTCGTATTTCTCTCTCGTCTCAAGTCGAAGAAACGGAGGACTGTGGTTGAAATTCTGAATTTTGAATAGCACCGTGAAGATTATTGCTCCTGATCGTTGCCGTGTTTCTGAATCTAGTCCGAAGGTTTGGTCTTCTCTGACCAATTATCTCGTCAACTCGTTTTGTAAGCTGTACTTATCGATGAGTTTCAGTGAATGAGATAAATACTTGAGGACTAGGTTTTGATCCATGGTTAGAGAAGTGGGTTTCCTTCTGCTTCCCAGATGAACAGGGGATTTCATGCGGCCATCATATGTTTTATCTATTGAGGGACATTCGGGCAAGATGTGTGTGATAAGTTCAGCACATGAACTTGTGTCATTGAGGAAGGTTACATGAATATTGGTTTATTCGGCACAACAGACGAAGACGTGTGGTGCACAAGCCTAAGGGGTTAGTATTTCAGATTTCTGGCAGGTGTTAATTCTATGAATTATGTTCAAACAAATATTCAGTAAGCTTCCTCGAAAGTCGTCTAAATCCACTGAATATCGGGAACAAGGTGGAAGTGGAAGCCCTGCAATTCATTCAAATGCTTCGTCTACCTACAGAAACAATGATCTTGGGAGCAGCAAGTCTGGAAATTCTTCCGTATTGGCAGCCCCTTATTCTGCTTTAAATGCAGGACAGCATCATGGTAACAGAGTTTCCCAGGCTGTGAATGTAAATCTGACAGGGAATTCGGTGCCTCCCTCTTATGAAGCATTACCTGCGTTCAGGGATGTTCCTAATTCTGAGAAGCTGAACTTGTTTATTAAAAAGCTGAAGATGTGCTGTGTTGTGTTTGACTTCACTGACCCAACGAAGCACACCAAAGAAAAGGAAATTAAGCGGCAGACCTTGGTAGAAATGGTAGACTATGTGACTTCTGCCAGTGGTAAGTTCCCAGAAATTGTAATACAAGAAGTTGTAAAAATGGTGTCTGTAAATATATTCAGGACGCTTAGTCCTCAGCCGCGCGAGAACAAGTTTGTTGAAGCCCTAGATGTGGAGGACGAGGAGCCTTCCATGGATCCTGCTTGGCCTCACTTGCAAATTGTGTATGAGCTTTTTCTAAGATTTGTGGCATCACCTGAGCTGGATGCTAAGTTGGCTAAAAGATATATTGATCAGTCCTTCATAGTGAAGCTTTTGGATTTGTTTGACTCTGAAGATCCTAGAGAACGGGAATATTTAAAAATGACTCTGCACCGCATTTACGGGAAATTCATGGCTCATCGCCCTTTCATCAGGAAAGCTATCAATAACATCTTTTATCGTTTTATTTTTGAGACAGAGAAGCATAATGGAATTGCTGAATTTTTGGAAATTCTGGGGAGCATCATCAATGGTTTTGCACTACCATTGAAAGAGGAGCATAAACTGTTTCTTGTTCGTGTACTTATTCCCCTGCACAAACCAAAATGCTTAGCTATGTACCATCAACAATTGTCTTATTGCATTACCCAATTCGTGGAGAAAGATTGCAAGCTTGCTGATACCATTATCCGGGGATTGTTGAAGTACTGGCCAATAACAAATAGTTCAAAAGAAGTGATGTTCCTGAGTGAGTTAGAAGAAGTCTTGGAAGCAACTCAATCTCCAGAATTCCAACGTTGTATGGTGCCATTGTTTCGCCGGATAGCACAGTGTTTGAATAGTTCACATTTCCAGGTATGGTGTTTCAATGTTTTGCTCCTGTTTGTTTCACCTCATCATGATTCTAAGTGGGCATTACAGTTAAGTTTTGATGGGGGTTTACATTAGCGATCTCTGTGATCCTGCAGATTTTATTTCCTATTTTCCTTTGTTTTAAGAAGACCTTTAGGCCTCTAGAATATGAGAGACCTCTTGCATCACTTGATTTCCTACTAATTGTTGTTGCTAACATGAGTGGGTCTGAACAATTCTGGTTATGAGGAAGGCTTATAAAGAGTGAAAGAAGAGTGAGAAAGGTTATGGAAGCAATTTAGAATGGTTTTGGTGGGAGATGGCCGGCATCCCAAGGGCCTAGCATTGTTTTCTTTTCTTTGCTTTAAACCCCTCTTCATTGTACAGGCATTTCTGATATCTAAATTCATTATAAATATATTATTTCTAGCACACACACATACACACAAGTATTTGTTTGGGTTCCAGCACTTTCTAAAACATGGAAATAATTCAAATCTTTGTTTTCTAATTACTTAAGCGTTGGATGTATCTGGTAATCCATCATAGTCTTGTAGGGCATAGAGTGGCATCCCTCAATAGAAAAACATGGACGTCTGAGTTTGAGTCTTTTTATTTTTTTGGTCTTTAAGGTTATCCCTTTCCAATGAGCTAGGGCATCCATCGCCTGGCATAATCAAGTGGATGTCATATGAAGCATAATCTCATGCAAATAATAATTTAGTAGTATACTGGGTTTGTGGGAAATCTTAGCTCTTCAACTTGGATTTGCATGCCTAGCAATGGCCTCTCGGAGAAAAGGAGAGGGTTTTGTGGGTATTGGAGGCGGTTTTTTTATTTTTTTTATTTTATTTTTGGGGGTGTGGTGGTGGATGAACAGTGGTGTATGATTTTTAGTGCATCATCTGATCTTGCTGCAAACTCTTAAACTTTGTTTTAATTTGTCTTCCATATTTCTATTAAGTCCAAATATAAATTGTTCTAATACTCTCTCCTTCCCCTCTGTCGGATAATTTAGCCTTTTCTTCCAATATTTCACTACTTGTTGGTTTGTATTGCTTTCTTTATATTGCTGGAAAGTTTTCCTTGTCTCTGAATATTAAAGTCCATGTCTTGGAGTTCATATCTTGTGCCAGCTTTGCATTATGTGCGAATAAATGAAACTACTGTGAATTGTGATAGTTCTTTCTTGACAAATAGAGCATTT